GTCCACTTTATTTTCTTTCCGTACCCCGTGAAGAACGATGCATGAACATCGGTATGGCCTGCCGAAGCTAAGGAGCGTCGTCTACCACTCAATTTCTCTGTCGCCAACAAAAAAAAAAGACTTTCTGAAAGTAGCTTCACCCAAGTGATTACTCGGAGAGACTTGGAATCCCATCTGCACTGCGCCGTCGCTTCGTACCTGCCAGACAAAGGAACTCAAGGGCGCTGTTCATGTTCTGACCGAGGAAATCTCCCAAAGTCCTGAGACGCTCGGTCCGGCTGGCCGGTTCCCAAGGGGCGGCTTTGACGTGTCTAGGTCATCCTGCTTATTTCAAGTCTCTATGGGGTCCTTGAAGGAACTTTGGTGACGGCGACTCTGTGTGCTTGGGAAAGGGTATAGGTCGGAGCCTGGCAGTTTGAGAACTGTCACGCTCCCATCATTAGTGACCCTGGGGCACGGAGTCCCTTCGAGGGACGATCCCAGGAGGTTGGAGGAAAGCTGAAAGTGCGTATTTGGGCGGGAGTAAAACAGTGGAAGTGCTGTATTTTGACAGCGGGCTATCGAAACTGGAAGAAAGCTCTTCAAAAGGAAGGCGGACTACGACGCCACTCCAACAGCGCGGCGCGCAAGATGTCCCAAACATCATCGGCTTTCTTCAAGCGAAGAATAGTGGCGCGGCTAAATCAGTCGCCGTGTAACTCTGCTAGGCGTATTCAGCAAAGAAGGGAGAATCGTCACTACATCTACATGATCGCTGCCGTGCTCCGGTTTTCCGCGGTGCAGGGGACTGCCTAAAGAGCACATGATGAGCCACGACAAGCGTGAGCGTGCTTATTTAGTAATGCGGAATGTAAACATGCCTGAATATTTTGCACGTGAAATGCTACATTAACCCGAGTTGTAGATAGGTTGTAAAATAATAAAATAAACTGAGCTGATTTCTATTAAAAACTCTCGAAGAGCCAAGTCATCGTCCCTGAATATTTGTTCTTTTAGTCGGATCCAGAGCAAAAAGGCTCTGGTCGGATCGAAAGCCCATGCCTCCCCAAAAATGGCGTGCGCCTCCCCACTGCCCCCTCACTATGAAAAGCCTGGCGCCGTCCCTGGTTATGGCCTTCAAAAAGGTCCTCGAGCCGTGGCTGAATACGACGGCGTTTTTGGCGATCACCGACGTTTTCATGGGGGCGACTTGAACGACTCATCCAATCGCAGCACTTATACTGTATGCAGACTCGGAAAAAAAATATTACGGCTACACAGCAGCCTGCCTCGTAGACCTGTAGACGTGACGGCCGGTGCTAGTGACTGGCTTTCGGAAAAAGCTGGACCGAGTCCCAGAGCTGTTCTCTCTGGGCCAATTCGAAGAACAGAACATTCAGTGAAATATTTTGGGAACGACTGAGAAAATACGTGCACCCGGAACTTAGGCTTGTCAATTGTTCGTCCGTCGCTATCTTCCCCCACTTTTCTCTCTCGCCCTCTTCTTGCCGAGTTTCGCGACGCATCGCATGGTGCTCTGTGGAGTTGCCACAGGCACCTCCTCTGCCTACCTTTCCCCCTCTCTCTCGCGCCGTGCCGGCTTTTTTTTTTTGTTTTGTGTTTTTTTTTTCCGCACGTAAGTGCGGAGTGGGCTTGAACGCTTTTTGGACCGTCATCTGGGCCATCATGAATGTCAATTTCCACAAACCGTTGACAGTATCTACCGGATTTCGTCACTGCCGGGCATTTTATTTTATTTATTTTTTTGAGTCAACTCCAAAAATGCGCAAGTATGCAGTGAAGTTGTGCACTGATATAGTGTGTGCTGGCATGCGATTTTCGCTTGGGTACGTCACCAGTGGCAACGAAAGCCAGATCTGTACTGGCAGTCACGTGACAAGACTTTGCGCCCCGATCTACCGAAAGCGCTAAGGCGCTGGAAGTTGGTGTTATGGATGAACTGTGATGTTGATGCGAATTTTTTGGTTGTGCGCAGGTGAGCATAGGTTACAAAATACGAAAAAAAAATTGACGAAGCTTAAAACAATCTCGGGTACCGAGAAAAGAGTCAAAGTACAGGCTAGCTGGTGGAAGTCAACCATTTCGTCGTTTACCCTGAGACTGGGGGGGTTTTTTGAAGAGCAGAAGAAACAGAAAAAACAGACAGGTAGTCGCGGAGCAGTATGGATGCTCCTAGGAAATGATGCAGGCCTGAAATCACCTGGAGAGGGGATAGTGTCGCGGCGCCCCTGAGGCGCGTGCCAGGGCCCAGGACCCGTGGAAGACGACAGCGCGCGTGCAAAATGCAAGAATAGTACAATTCGATCCGTTCTAGACGCCATGGGCTTCGCACATTAAACCTGTAACAATATTTTAAACAAACCAAAATTATAACAAGCACATCTAAAAGGAATGATATTTCCAACATGCTTTCATATTATTTTTTTTCTTCCGTGTACATTGAGTTTTGTAAATGCCCTCTTTAGCGTCATCGATGTGCAATTAATAGCATTTTGAAACTCTCTCTCAAAAAACCCTCAAAATTTAAGTTTTCTTTGCGGCTCTTGAGCACTGTCACCTTGACCACAGTGATTCTGCGGCTGGAGATTAAGCTGGAAAATCTAAAAACGTCGAACAAAACGTGAGTGGTCGACGTTGCCAGCATGTTGTTTTGTCCGTTTTTTTATTTTTCCGTGTCTCCGGTTTACGATGGAAGTTCTTCACCAGCTCGCCTGTGCTTTTACCCTTTCTACGTCTTGTATAGCGTTTACGACATTTAGGTGTGAACGCGACGTCACTGAAACGTCACTGTCGGGGCAATAATGTAACGTCACCCAGGACTTTATTTTAACTTTGAAGACACGTGAGTGTTCGACGTTGCTGAAACGTCTTATCGTGACGTCGTGGTGACGATGACGACGTTAAAGTTGAAACGTGACGTCGCCAGCACGTGACGGACAGGACGATAATGGGACGTCATTTATGAACTTCAGTTCAACGTCAAAGAAACGTGAGCGTTGGACGTTGTGAGAACGTCATGCATCGACGTCGTGGGAACGTTGACGACGTTTGAGTTGAAATACAACGTCGTCGCAACGTCACTGATTGGACTCTAATGGAACGTTATATAAGGACGTCACCTCAACATCGAAAAAACGTGATCGAAGTCATGCGGGACGTCACGGACGTCCGGGACTTTTTCTCGACGTTTCCACGACGTTTTGTGCTGCCTGGGAATATTCTTGAGCCAGACTAGGATCAGTAAGCCTCTGTAAAGTCATGAACGTTCCCACCCGATATCGTTTCATGACCCCTTTAAAGGGATGCTGAACCAAACATCTCAGTGTCCATAATGAGTAGCGCACGATTTTCCCACGTGCCAGTAGCCGCCGGTTTGCGGGAGTACACGCAACGAAATGGACGTCATAGTCTCCCGTTCACGCTTAAGATTACGGTGAAATGTGACGACTCCAGGGAAAAGGAGAATAAAAACAAGTTTTTCATCACCGCAGTGAGGTCATGGTGTAAAAAGGAAGCGAATAATTGGACTAACAAGCGCGTAGCTTTCACTTGTGGAGATCAAAAGCCTGTCTTTATTCTCCTTTGGCCCGGAGCCCACACGTTCAACTGTCATCTTAAGCGCTAATGGGAGACTTTGACGTGAATTTTGTTGCTTGTGCTCGCGCACAGCTGCGGCTGCTCGCTCGCGGAAAGAACGCGCGCCACTTATTATGGACACTAAATTATTAGGTTCAGTATGTCTTCAAAGCGTCTATACTCGCGCGCAACACCACCGGCCAAAAAACTTCTTTGTCGACACGTAATTTGAAAGATATAATCGAACGTTTCCTTTTAGTCTCTCCTTCGCTAAACTTGAAGAGGAAGTGGTGGGGATCGCATTGGGGGGAGGGCGGGGGGGGGGGGGGGGGGGGGGGTATGCGTTGTCAACAACGCGATCCCCAGGATTAGTCATCGAGCCTTGCGATCCTCGCGGTGATAAATGTGGCTCCTTTCAGTGGACGAGCACTGCGTGAGCATTCGATTTGCGATCGTGACAATCAATGCCTCGACATGCGTTCGGGTAGTGCCTCGCACCCAATCGCTCTGATTTCGAGGATAGCAGAACCTTAACAACCTGCAAAACTAAGCGCATGCATTTTTTTTTTTTTTTTTGGCGTGAAACGCTTCTTTGGTTAGGTATTTGGCATTTTGTGAAGCACAAATAAAAGGGAAGCACTGATAAAAGCGTGGCCACGAGGCTGGACACTGATTGGTTGAAGAGTGGGAGAGGAGGAGTGAGGGTGCTCGACGCTTATTGGTTAACGAGGAGGTCATGCGACTAGAGGGGCAGGCGACGAGGAGTGAGGCAGGCAAGGAGGATCTCGAGCGCCTGTGCGCAGTGAAAGAGAGGAGGTCGAGAGCGTGGAAGGCTTGGTCGCCAGGTTTATGAGCTCGATTAGAGGTAGACTCACTTCATTCCAGGATCAACTATTAAGGGTACGCGTGGTACGCGTTAAACTATCTGATGAACAGCGCCGTGAACGTAGACGTATCGCGTCTGGAAACTCAGAGCAGCGCTAAGCGTTTGCGACGCTAGAACGTTTCACGTATGCAAAACGATTGCTAATCAATTTGCCTTGCATATTTTTTCGCCAACCCCTGCACGTGTCTATTATAAACACTCGTGGCATATAAGTGGCTTCAGAACACATGGCCACCTATTCTGGCTGCGAGTACAAGGAATGAATCCTCCTCATTTTTCGCTGAGTTTTTCTGCGACTGCCAATGCTTGGGGAAAAAGAAACTAACGCGTGTTTTATACCTTATGAATATTAAAGAATAGTTCTAAGCATTATCTACCCAAAGCACAATTATTGTGGCATTTCCCCTTCAAGGACCCAAAAATAATGAGTAGACTACTTTTTTTTTTTTTTTTTATCTACAGCGACGACACCAGATTTTCAATGGGGCCACCTTAATTCCCGCTGTCTAAACGTAGGCGCAATTACTTTTCGACGCAGGTTGCGCCTTCTGCCGAGGGTACTTCGTGACGTAGCGCATCGGCGAATGGAGGTCACCCTTCTGGGGGACATGACGTTGTCCATGCCGGTTGGGATTTCGCCGACGGCCCTGCAAAAATTGGCGCATCGGGACGGAGAGGTTGCCACCGCTAGAGGTAAGCATATCAAGGCGTTCTGTGAGAAAGTCAGTATCTTGCAATGTTTGTGTCCGCACCTTCGAGGCAAAGAGTCCTACCGTACACGTTCGTCTAGCCAAGTTAAAACATTTAACGGCTGGCTTCGCTGTATCCTGCGAGGTCGCATTTATATCTCTGCTGCAATGCGACTTAATCGTGTTGTAGGGGAGCTGTATTGGGTTATGTCAGAGCGAGATTTTTATTAGAAGAATATAGAGTTACGTTGATCGCTCGCATCGTCCACGGTTCGCCATGACTGCCATGTGTCGTCCTTTATACATGGTGACAAAAGTGTCACTCATTATTGAACATGGAACGACTACGCCCGCCTGGTGACTTCTGCTCTCCGGAAGCGCTGCTAACAAATGACTGAAGTTAATACCCATGTGTTTTACGGTAAAATGTATTGTTAGTTCTCTAGATAGGGAAAAAAAACGGAACGCCTTTCCGCTCCCTCTTTTTTTTTTTTTTTTTGTCCTCATAAAAGTTTTATTAATTGACTGACTGATTGGAAACACTTAGTATAACGGGAGCGCACCGCGCATGCGCTAAAGTTCTGCGCATGCTATTTGAACCGGTATAAGCCAACACCTTGAGCTCTGTATGGCCACCACCGAGCCGGCAAAGGCACGCGTTGACAGATAGAAAACGGTGGTATTCCTGAACGTCACAGAAACCGAAGGGACTGAAGTTCTTAGCACACTGCCGGACGAAGAGAGAACCAGTTACAACGTTTTGGAAACGACGTTCAAGGAGTATAAACCCTTTTACTGTTTACGAACATGAACCGCTGCTTGCGTCTCAAGTGACTTCCAGTCTCTCCCTCCGTCTTTTCGAGTCTATCGAGCTTGCTTATGTGACCAGTGCTAGGAAAGGTAGATGCTACACGGACAACACAGTTACACAGATTTAGCAAGTGCCTTCGGCTGTACAGTTGAATGTATTGGAGGATTCAAGTTGGTTAACGAGAATACTCGAAAAATGTGAAGAGATCACGCGCTTATTGTTTATTTTGACGTTCGCCCTGGAGAATTGAAGGTAAAATGGTTCATCGACGGTTCAAGCAGCCGTTTTGGGGTGGACTTCCTTCATTGTTTTTATGAAGCGGCAGTTCGCTGGGACGTCAAAAACTGGAGCACAGCCTGGTGGCGCTTGCGAATGAAAGGGTCTATACTGCACTCCAAGGTGCACTGTGCACTAAACCCTACGCGTCCTACAAACGTAGGATTTAAACGCAAGAAGGAGAGTCGTTGCAAACATTTTACCGAGCGGTAGAGCAGAAAGCGGCTTTCTGAAAATTCGCGCAGCCGTCTGATTTTATGTCTTGAGACCAAACTGTGTACGAAGACACCAACCAGCAAAAAGGTGACAAGTTTCTTTCGCGAGTTAGGCGAACTGCCCTCAAACAAGGCGATTGCGTTCTGCAGAGCTGCGGAGACATCAAAGGAATGGCATAGTCCTTGGGACAACTCTGGGAAGAGTGTGAGCCTTGCAGAGAAGCAGAAATAGCAAGCTCTCTCCAGCACTAAGCATGTGGCAGGAACAACGCAGCAGCAGTCCTGTTCGCCCCCGTCGCGGCTAAGACATCCATGGAACTATCTGAGAAACTTTTTTTAATCAGATTCCGCAGGTCCGTACGCTCGGACTTGTGGATTTTAAAGTAAATAAAAGGGGCTGCATAAGTTTATGTCAGTCCCAAACTTGTATTAGAAGATATGGTAGTGTGAATTTATATAAAATTTATATTATAAAATGATATAAAATGAAATAAAAAAATAAAATGAATATAAAATGCATAAAATAAAATGAAGTAAAAATAAAACAAAATAAAATATATATAAAATGATATAAAATGTATATAAAATTTATATAAAATTTATAAAATTTATCTAAGCCTCGTAATCACAATAAAGTGTTGTATTATATTTTATACCTTCAAAATTCATCCTTGTTTTATTTTATGTGCATGACTCGCCTTGTTGGGTGTACACTATTCAGTTTGTTTAAAGTGAGCGATAATGATGTTTGTTATTTGTCTGTTCCTTAGATGACTTGTTTTTCTTTCATGTGGATTATAGTCTGTATTATTTTTTTTTTGCATTCAGTACGCATTTTTATCCTTATATACATGGCTTTTATTGTTGCATTTGTGTTATGTATGTGTGGCTCAGTTCTGTAAAAGTTTTTTATCCTGCTCTATTATTTTGTGAGATGAAATGCATTTTCATGTTATTTTTGTATGTGTGGACTGTAAGGGACCAGTGCCACGTCAGGCTTTTTTAGCCTTTTGCACTGGCCCTTCTTTCGGGCTCTGCCCGAAGGAAAACAAATAAAGAAAGAAAGAAAGAAAGAAAGAATTGTTTCAGGGCTGTTCTTCAGGACTATGCCTCGCTCCCGATGCAGAAGGAACACGTTTGTAACAGAAGCTTGTGCAGGACGGGGGGGAGGGGGGGGGGGGAGGGGGGGGGGGGGGGGCGGGTGGCGGTCGGGTGGTGGCGGTGCGGCCACGCGGGTCGTCGTTGTGAATGAAACGGATGCCATCAAAGTTTTCCCGTGCGTACAAAACGAGCTGCTGATTTCGCGCGTCCATAGCAAGCCGGCCTTCAGGGACCGATTGCGACTGTCGATACCCGAATATACTTCGTTTCACCTGACGATGGACAGCAGCGGACGCTTTGAGCCATTCCAATGCCGCGTGAGTGCCACGTGGACTTCGGCAGAGACGCAGCAATGCTCGGGGAGGGTAGTCACGTGATTCGTACACAGTGCTCGATTCGCTGGGATGGCTCCTAAGGTCCGTTGCGGTCCATCGTGATTAAGTGATGTTGAGCAGAAAAGCAGCCTCACGTATAATCTTAAGACATGCACACTTTAATGGAATGTCATAAATCTACAGAGTTTGTTTTCAACTCAGTAAGACCGCGAAGGGCGAGAGGAGTATTTTAGATGTCTAGGCTGGGTAACGCAAGCTACCGCCCGTCAGAATTACCGCCATCAGCATCCATCCATCCACCCGGTAGAAGGATACCCGAAACTGGGCGGAGCTGAACAGAACGACGCCACGACGCGTCGGAAACATGTGTCTCGAACTGCCAAGTCCGGCGAGTCGGAGCAGCCGTTTTTGCGACAATTCACACGTCGGATCGGACAGTTTTGACTCGCATCCGTTTAGCGCTTAAACCTTGCTTATGACCCTGTCTACGGTCCCTCGGTGCGGCTCGTGGAGCTATGTCGCGCAAAATGGGTTCACGAACTTTTCTGAGTGGTACTATCGTCAATCTACCTGGCTATAAAGGAGTCGGCCATAGACCCGGCCTTCTTAATCAGCGCTTACTCCTTTTCAGAGGACTGCCTAGATGAATTTGATCCCGTAAAGTTCGTCTCTCTTGCAAGATTTCCCATTCAAACTGAGCAGAATTTCAGTCGCATTTGGAACCACCTTCCGCTCTTTTCTAAGCTGTGTTTTTGTGTCGAGACGATGTAAACGTCCATCAGGAACCCACGTCTACAGTCGCTTTGGTAACTTTGCCCTTTTTATGTTATGGCGAGAAAACGAATTTTGCCTATGCTTATAATGCAATTAAATGCAAAGGTGCAAGCGAGCTGGACAAGAATATTGAAATTTTCACAAGGTACCTGCGTCTGGAGCTAGATGGCGCAAGTGGACCATGTTCCTCATTGTTGTGAATTGAGTCGGATAATTAATTTAGCCAAGACAGGTTATAACGAAGTTAACGGGAATGGAAAATCACTTCGCTATATCCGCTATTTCGTTATAACCGACTCTTGTCGTCCGCGTTCTCTCATCGCCAGCTTTGTGTTTGTTGCACGAGTGGTAACTTCAGCGTACTGCCACGCTTCCCACGCGCCGCAAAGACTCTTTTTATAATTACTCATTTAGTGGTTTCGGGTAATGCCCAGCACTGAGTTTCTTATTGGAACCATATTTGTATTTTCACTAATTAAAAATATAGCGAACAATTTTTTGTTAATTCCCCATTTATCGATGTGATTAGCACACTGCGTTATATGTTCTCCTGGCCGTACACTCTAAAAAAAAAGGGAGTAGTACTTCCTCCCTTAAAGGAGGAACTCGCATGTATCATATATTGCTCTACAAATGGAGGAAATTTTCCTCCTACAAAACGGGAGGAAATTTCCTCCCCTAGGAAGGGAGGAAAGTTGCCACCTATTTTTGCTCGTGGAGAAAACGTTCCTCCCCTAAGAAGAGAGGAAAATCGCCACCTTTTTTCGCCCAATGGAGGAAACTTTCTCCCCTCGTGTAATTCATATAACTTCCACCAGATGGCGCTCAAAACAGAAAAAAAAATGTTGGTGGAGTACCAATTTGTTTTCCAATGTCCCCCGCCTTTGAACGCTACATGGCAAATACAACACCGAACATACAGAATACACGAAACACAAGGAGAACACCCCACAAACGCAACAACGCACCGACACTGAACCCCCACCCCTCTCCACGTACGCTAACTTCGCACTCTCTCTATATATGGCAGTCTTAATTTTGAATCCGAATTGGCCGGTGACTGCCATCATTTGTCGCATAAACACGGAGAGACGGAGCGAGTGTTACTCGTACTTCATAGATTATTTCACTTGTCTCTTGGAATAGCCCCTATCTCTTAATTCAACACCCTGATCAAAGTAAATGTAGATCATTAGGTTAATTAACTAAAATTTAATGAATATATTTTTAATAAGTTCGAAGAATCATGTTGGCAATGCAGTGTTGAAATGCAGTACACTGGTGCTAAAATTTGCCACCAAGCTATAGCTTGATTGGAGTGTGCAGTGCCAGTGTAATCAATTTTAAGTTTCGGCGGGGGAATGATTAATTTTAATTGTTGCACAAGAATTTCAAGGAATTTTTCAAACAAAAAATATTCCTGGTTTTAACAAGACTCGTTGCAAGAGCAGGGGACATATCTTGGGTCACGCTTCGTCACCCGTAAAAGTGAAATTTAATATTGTTTTAATTTTCTAACCTGGAGCGTTCTACCTATAATTAGTAAGTGCCGGGAGCGATAAGGACCCACGAACCATGACTTTGGTATCACAACCGCTTGAAAACATCATGCTGCCCAAGTCAAAAAGTTAAAAAGCCCGTGTTGAGAGTTTTAGATCGTTCAATCACTTCCGCAACTCTATAAGCAATCCATTAGGGAGTTTTCGTAGACCGCGCTGCCCCTTCCGCTAAGCGTTCCGCAACGAAGAAGTTGCTACTGCGCCTGCGCGGCGATAGCCTTGACTGTGGAGTTCCCGCTATCGTAGCGGGTTGCGGAGGGCCTTGCGGGACGGCGAAAACGATGTACGAAAACTCCCTATTATGGGTATGGCCTCCGCTATATGTACCGTAGCGGAGCCGTGTTTTCATGTTTTAGAGGACGTTTGCAACCCGTTGCAGAATATAGCGTTACGAGAGCTACCGCAATGCAACTATTTTGGACACTAAAGCTAAAATAAAAGGTTGTACAGCAATTGTTAGTAATATTCTATTCATGTCGCTATCTAAATAGAACGTTAATAGTAAGCTTATGTTCATCCTTGCTTCTTTTAAAAGTAAGTCCAGTACATTTGCGACGAGCAGACTTGAGATCCACGTTGTTGACGCCGGGTGAACTTGGTCGTGTGCTACAGCCGGCCAGCGCTCGTTTCGCGACACGAGAGAAACCGCGCGATAAGGGACTAAGTGGGCCGCATAAAAGAAAACAAAAGTGCGACGGAATTATTTGTTCACTTTACCTTCTTTTTTTTTTTTGTTGCGAGTGCGTTATTTGATATGTAGCACACAGTAGCAGGAGATGCCGCACAAACTAAAAAAGCGGCGGTGAACCGTCCGCTTGGTTGGATCATCCGTTCCTTCAAGACCGCAGATCCGGCCTCCCTCCCCCCCTTCGCCCCGCAACCAGAATGGAATGTCTGTACTACCCTTTCTTCCAAGTGGACTCTTCCCGAATGAATTGTTGACCTTGTCTCCCGGATTTGTTGCTTCGCTCCTTCGCCGAATCGTCATTTCAGCGTCCTTTCTTGTGCGGAGATCAGGTTTTTTTTTTTTTTAAAAAAAATATATCGCGTGTTCCCGCAAGCCGGTCGTGGTCCCGATGTTGACGGACTACGACGTGTGTCAGACGGCAGTCGCTCGCCGCATCGCAGTTCTCGTTCCTATCGACTGGATATGCTGTTCTGTTTTACACAGAACTGAAATAAACGCTGCACGGATCACCTTTCGCTGTATATGGTACGTACGCTTTATTTCAAGTGTATATGTTTTTCGCGGAGGTGACGGGGCTAGGAACGTATAGACGTGTCGACTCGAATAGAGCAGCGATCTTAGCAACAACGTGATTAAAGAAAAAAATGTTCCACGCTTATGACGATTATTTCTTGTGCGCCCTACTTGTTACTGAAGTTAAAGCCAATAGGCAGGCGAGCTGGTTAAGGATAGATAGTTTCGAGCCTGTTCGTCCTTTTTTTGTTCCCTCGCTCCACGTTCACTATGTCCACTTGTAATGTAGCAAGTAACGCGACGAAAGCGGTCGTACTTGCCATGCCAGTGATAAGTCGTCACCTGTACTTATCGCAGCTGTAAGGTTTCATTCACAATGAATAAGCGCGATCTCGAAGCGGGCACATACGGCGTGATTCTTGCGAGACGCGCGCCGCGCTACGCGCCTCGCTTTTTGGTTTGTTAAACTAGTGTACCTCCGCTAGCCCCCGCAGCTCTGCTTTTTCTCTCCTAGCACCGCGCATGGGCAGTAGTGGGATTGATCTAGGTGACGGTAACCAATCCCTCAAGTTGCCGTCACCGCCATTGAACATGTTCGCGGCGGCAGCGGCGGTTCGAACCGCCGCTGCCGCCGCGATCATGGGGGAGGAAATTTTCGTCCCTTTTTCAAGCGCCACCAGGTTGCGCTGCATCTAAATCGGTGAAATGGAGGAACGGGTGCGATTTCCTCCCTTCCGTAGGGGACAGGGAGGAAAATCACTTTTTCCTCCATTTCTCCTCCCTTTTTTTTTAGAGTGTATAACTCACCTGCACTGACCACATCATGGCGGTGTATCTTTCGCGGCTTTTATGAAACAAATCTGTAAGACCACTAAAAAAAACATCCCGCGTATATAATTTCTTAAATACATGAACTGGGTATTAAAACAAATTAAGTGGGTGATTTTTTTTTCTCTTGATATACATATTTTCCGCCTGAACGACGGACAGGTACTTGTGTCTGTCATTGATAAGGACACAATATCCGTGGACGGTTCTTGCATGCGAACGCCTCATTCCAGCATGTGATCAATTACCTTTTTTGAGTAGCTTCTAAAAGAGTCGGCGTTTCTTGTCCTTGTAGCTGCCCATGCTGAGGGGACCCTGATGATACTGAGCTCATACAGCAGCACTTCCATGGAGGCCGTGCGAAAGGAGGTGCCAGAAGGACTTCGCTGGTTCCAGTTGCAGATTGCCATTGACCGCGACCTCACAAAGTGTCTGGTAAAACGCGCCGAAAGGGCCGGCTACAGGGCGCTCGTTCTGACCGTGGACGAGCCTGTTTTTGGACGGAAAATCACGAGAGTTAAGAAGCGGTACAGTCATCCAAATGGAGTGAAGTACGTTCAATCGTATACAACTTATTCAGTCGTCACACATCTTTGTCTCGCGTTTTTTATTCACGCGTACGGAACCATTTCCTAAAGGACAACCACGTTCATCCCCTACTTTTTTGGACATCAACGTCTCGACCAAGGCACTAACATTATAATTCAATCTGAACAAAGACAAAGATCGCAATATTCTGCGGAAATATTTTATATGACAGTCATAAAATATCAATATTCAATAATTAACTTTTTGGACGCGTAAAATTTTTATTCCGCGGCTCTACAATTATTGTATTGAATCCTATTGGGCACTTTCAGGAGATTGTCAATTTCCGCTTTTCGTTTGACAAAGAATCGCGATGTTCCCAAGGTCTGGAATTGCCAGGGTCTCACAAACTCAAATCAATTAGAATTTTTTTATATTTCCTCGGACACTTTATTACACGGAATGTCCAAGAGAGTTGACCATGAGTCAAAGGAAGCTCTGCGGAGAGCAAGTCATCTGCTTCTTGGGCAGGATTTGCAGTTACGTCACAACTCTGATTGACTTTGATCGAAAGGATAGCGGGAGGGCCTCAATCTTTCATACCTTGAAGTCTATCCACTATTTTTATTTTTCACTCAGCCAATGAGAGTTCGGTGTTCTGACGTCATCACAACCCTTCCTGCAAGAAGCAGACGAATTTTCGCCCCGTATACTCCGTTTCACTTTAACTCCAAGCGCAGCCGACGGTATATGCCATTCCATGAAGGCGCTCATGTAACGCCAAATATGCACTGTCACGTCGCCCTTCGCCATTGTGCGTTTGGTATCACCAACCAAACCCATCACGCACAGTGAATTCACAGCTGGATGGATGGATGGATGTTAATGGCTGTACCTTTTGTAACGGGCGGTAGCTTGCGCCACCTAACCTAAATCCTGTACTTTTTTTTTAGCGTGATTGGCTTAGTTGGTAAGCAAACCAAGCAAGCCAACGAGCGCCGTCACACTACACTTTCGAAGCTGCTTTATTGGCTCTATCGTATTGTATGCGGAGCGCAAGTTTGTCTGCTTTTTTTTGCAAGGGATGTGGTGACGTCAGAACGCCGAAATCTGGTTGGCTCTGATTGAAGGATAGCGGGTAGACCTCAAAGCAAGCCATTTGAGTCCTAGCCACCATCTTTCAGTCAGAGACAACCAGAGCTCGGCATCTTTCTGACACCATCACAACCCCTGCTAAAGAAGTAGACGAACATGCGCACCGAATACGTCGGCCGTGGTCGGACCCGGTATGAAACGGAGTATGTGCGGTTGCTCCTCCCCTAAACATTCTGCAGCTTCTGTCGACGGATGAAGAGACGGGTTGGAAGATAATACACGAAGTTTGGGGAAAGCATTGATCATCGAAGTCAGTTCGTTGTGAGTCGGAACGTTTGGCACGTAAATGACGCGCAAGTTTAGTTCTAAAGCATAATTTAGTTCCAGCCATAGCGCAACCTAGATGGGGCGACGTTGAATGACAAAAAGACATTTATTAATAATAAAGGTTGCAGGACGTAAGCCAGACTATGCGGAATGCTATGCCGGAGTCCTCATCGCACGTCATGCAAGGATAAATGTACGATTTTATACGGGCACAATGCAGATGTAAGTGTTGAATTAAGCGTTCGAGGATATTGACCAAGGGTATCCCAGTCTACTGCAGCGCGGACTTCAGCTTCACTTGCTACGCCCAGCATAAGCGCTATGAACGTATACAGTTTACACACGAGCGTCAGGTGGGTGAGCACTGTGCTCACGCAGTATACAAAGTTGCACAGTCTTTGGGCTAAAATGCTGTTTTTTTCTAAGAATTTAGGGCCTCAAAAAGGCTTAACAAGCCAGTGTAGACCCAAACGTGGTCAGTTTTAGTCAGAAACTGGGCACCGTGGCCCTAATTCGCGAAACAAGTTCCAAAGTTAGGGCTCACTGCTGGTAGTCATCTCGACATTATTGCTTCTAAATCGCCAAACAAGTGGCAGAGTTGGACTTCCCCTCTGGTTGTTGATTTTTTTATGTAACAGCTTTAGGTCTAAGTTTAAAAAATAAGTGCCAGGTGTAGATTTTACGGTTGACTTTTCTGCTTATAAAAACAGTGTGTCACAAAAAAAAAAAATGTACGCCAAAATAACTCGCAAAAAAAAATTTTTTTTTGATGGATCTTGTAGCAATTTTTTTCGAAAATGACTTTAACTGGTCACACTGTTGTACTAAAATTTCAAGTCGGAATTCCGAGTACAAATAAAATAAGAAAATAAAAACAGACTTTTTCAAAGGCGGCTCTCGGGGAGGCACCGAACGATGGTTGTTCCCTTGCCGTATCCAGAGATGGCGCTTCAGATTCACTGGACCTATACTGAAAAGTAGCACCATCATTTGAAGAAAGCCGCCTGCTATCTTGGCCCGATCCAGGCGGCACTAGAGTCGATGCGCGAGTGTAAAAAAGCAAAACATGAGGATAGAAGGTGTACGCGTCAGAGGAAGAGGGAGAAGGAATGCCTATGCTGTCGGAGTGCAGTGCTTGCTATGAGCTCATGTCGCCACTCAAATAACGCTGTCTGTGCAACGTCGTGGCTTTCATCGTCTTTTTTTGAGCCCATCTTTCGAGGCTCTGACTCCAGTATAGGAAGGCCGTCTGCTATCTTGGCCCGATCCAGGCGGCACTACAGTCGATGCGCGGGTGTAAAAAAGCAAAACATAAAGATAAAACGTGTGCGCGTCAGAGGAGGAGGGAGAAGACTTTAACTGGACGTAAAGCCCCTACGCGCCGAGCGAAAAAGCGCGCTTTTATCCGAGTTTCTGCTTCCGCGCTGGATATTTGCCAAAATAAAGTTGTTTGGGTCTTCACTTAAGTTTCCCAACGCACAAAGTGTCACGCCATAAATATGAATAAATAAAACCGCAAAAATGCTACCCCAGAAATGACGTACCTTCGTCCGCGACGGTTCTTGTTTCGTGCATCGTCTGCTTTCGCAGTTTGACGTTCGAAAGAGACACGAGAGGCAGCCAGGAGTGCGCCCGAAAAAGCAGCGATTCGGTGGCTTTGAGAAGAGCCGTTGAAATGGGGTCTTCGGTCGAAATGCCTCATTCGCACACACATACACTCTCAAGAAGAAAAACAAACAGCTAGACTCCCAGCTCAACGTGCCCGTCGCGAAATTCGAAACATCTTTCCAGCCTCTTCTCGTAGTCCTGGAAGACCGCCTCCCGTATTTCACCACCGTCTAGTCTCAAATGAGTTGATGTATGGTTGATGATATGTTCTTTCAGCTCTGGGATGGTCCTTGATCACCGGGAGCACACTTGGGCCTTTACGTAGCTCCAGACAATGAAGAAAAAAACCTCAAGGGGTAAGGTCTGGAGACCGAGGAGGCCAAGCTTACCGAGGAGGCCAAGTTCAGCGGTGTCGGCGGTACAGTTCACGCCGACCACTGAACCGCACTTTCACTGTTGCAGATCTTCTATCGCCTGGGCCGATCAGCACCGCACCGCAAACCTAGATGAATATAGTGCTGCGTAAAGAGCGGACACTTCCATAGGCCCCAGCGGCTCAATTCAGTGTTAGCGAGCGCACCCAGCGGCCAGTATAATCCCTAGTTGAGTGTTGAATGGATGGATACACGCAGTTACCGCTGGTCAGATGAATGAATGGATTCAAGGCGAATTCTGGCGGTATATTTGTATCGGGCAGTAGCATGCGCCCTCTAGTTTAACGAATAAGTGTTATTGAAACTAGCATGTTTTTTTTTGTTTGAAATAGAGTTGTTTTTAAGAGTATACCTTAATAATGCAGAAGAAAAGTCACCCAGCGCTACATATAATTCAAACTGACCGCACACAGAAAATAATATTTTCACATTTGTGCTAACTCTATTTAAGGGACGACATGGGACGACACCAGGGAATGACACTCAAAAGTCGTCTTTCACATCAACTTTGAAAACAATCAGTGATGTATGTTATTCATACATTACAAACATAAGAATACACATGCAAAATGTATGAATATCGCGTGAACAGTGCAACCTGGAAAAATGTACTGTATTACAGCGAGACGTACAGCGACAAATGCAATATAATGGAGGGGATTAAAAAAAATACCGTCCAAGTTCCATGAAAAGTGTTTGCACCTATGCCCATGTGACTAATACAGCAACAGTAGAAGAACAATCTGGCCCAGTGGCTTCTAAATTCAGTGACCGATTAGCCATTGCACCGTTTACTGTTGAACTGTTCGGGGGGGGGGGGGGGGGGGGGCAGAGACTCTGTCAGGCTTCACGCCTTTTTCTCTACCCCCTGGGCGGAAGAACCCGCCAAACAAATAAAGAAAAAGAAAAAAAAAAGTCCGTCAACAAAGAAACTACAGTCACAACACTTGTTACGTATACCGTAAACCATGACCGCAACGGAAGAATGACTAGAAACCCGCACGAGACAAAAAGGCGCGGAACCAACTCAACCCTCGCAACGAGGCAAGAGACACAGACCAAGCAGCCGAAGTATCCGCCCTCCATCGAGTTCACGACTCCGAAGCCAACCGTCGCGTCGCAGCCATAACCACAGCCGTTGATGTCGTTTCTGAAAGTTTTCAAAGTTCGTAATAATTTTTGAAGTTTAAGGCCCGTTCACACTCTTACGACCTCTTAAACCTGGGTTCCTTAAAACTTCTTAAACCAGAAAACACACTGGCGCCATCTATTGGGAAGCAGTGTAAACTCGGCGGTCCGGCATATTTCTTTTTATTTCTCGCACATTATCCTTTCTTTCTTGGCTCGAAAAACTTTTGTCAATGTTATAAACGAGCCTTTCTATGGGTATTACGCACATTTGACCTCGGAAATCCCGCCAAACCTTCGCTCTTGTGAAATGCAGTTCCAGGGTCACCGCATAGATGGCGCCACAACGCCAGTGTGTTCCCTCATTCCAAAAACATTTTAAGAAGTTTTAAGAGATCTCGTCTCTCTCAGTCGTACTCGGTCGCAAGAGTGTGAACGGACCTTTACTCTATAAAAAAGTTATTTATTAATATTGTATATCTGACAAATGTTCGGAACAAGTAGCACTGTTGCGCCTACTAACGGCCAGTAGAGTCCCTAGCTCCTGAGGCGCGGAACGGCTTGAGTGGCCAGTCTTTACGTAGTACTTTATTTCTCTATGCCGAAAAGTAGCTCCCCGAAAATTGTTTTCCCAACAATGTCATTCGGGAAAATCGTCGAGAAAGCCTGCAACTTCTTGCGCGCGGACGAGTAGAACTCATGGGGCGGCCATATATTTATCCGCATTATAATGATGATCGCGCGACGGTGGCGCCCCCTCTAGGCCAATAGTGTACATTGTGTTTTAGAGGTGTGGCTCACGCTTTGACCATGTCTGGCAAGTCCATACTGAAAGTATATGCATAATATACTACTAGCATCAGAAGCATAATCTTTAAGTATGTTTTGCCCGACGTGTTTCCTAAAAATACAAATTGAGTGTACTTTTAGTAGATTGCTTTTTATCAAGGAATTTAGAGTCTTGAATATTAGAAGAAAAAAAAACTCGTCGACGAACTTCAAAATCATTTATGGCGTGCGCAAAATCATTTATGGCGTGCTTTATGCGCAGATACGCTAACTTGGAAGGAACGTCACATGACGAATACGCTGACGCGAAAGCTGCGATGTCTATGACGGACCCATTCGTCGACGCTTCTCAGAGTTGGGATGACGTCACCTGGTTGAAGAGCATCACCCATTTGCCCGTGGTCGCCAAAGGAATCACCACCGGTGAGCATTAGTTTATTGTCCGTACACAACTTGAGAAAATTTAAATAACCTTTCTAATAATCGCCTTGTGCGCGCTGCAATCTTGGTCGACTGGGCTGTGGAACCAACACCATCCTTTCTCTCCTCCATGACGTCACATTAAATGTCTGATAACGGGCAGGGCTACTGTTGATTTGCTACGTTCTCTAACATTTGTTACCATATTCGGGCGACCTCATTGGCGCGGCAAATGTTAGGCGGCGTCCGGACTCATCGGGTTGCGTTTAGTGTTGTGGAGAGGGAACAGTGCCAAAGCCTCGCATCTTATGAAACAAAAAGAAAAGCGCCTCAGGTTACTGAAGCATTTGAGAGTGCGGCAGTTCTAGGGGTGCCATTTAGTCAGTGTAGATGGCGCCACTAGGACAACTCGCAGGAGAGTGGTTCTCCCTTTGGCAGGATACTTGCTAAGAACGCGAGGAATCGCGTTACAGACAACAGACCTCGCGCCATCTAGTTGCGCCTGCACCAATTAGCCGAGTCGGCCATTGCTCGGGCACGCAGTCTGAACATGGATTGGACACGAGGGTTGCGTGAGATTTCGGTCGGGGCTCGGATCCAATAGCATGTTTTGTGCCCAACAAATGGCGACCACCAGTGTTGCTCGGTGGGGTTTCGAAAAGCGTCGATTCCTTTAATCGCCCTCTGCGCACTGCTATCTCTTTGCATGCATTGGCTGTGCAACGCTTTTTGAACAAGCGCGATGCCTCTTTTTATACGGAATAGCAGACGCCGCGCTTGCGTTTATAGCCCAGTGACTCGGCATTCTTCACCTCAGTGACAAGTACTAAAAGAAGTGGGTAGGGAAAGAACATTGTCAGGAGCTGTGTTGTTCAAAAATTAACGGCGCACCTGACTTATCAAGGATACAAACCAACACGCTGTCAGCAAAAAAAAAAATAATATATATATATATATATATATATATATATATATATATATATATATATATATATATATATATATATGTAGATTATTGCCTTCATTTTTTTCAATAAAGACAATGTATAAAACGCGACAAGACAAAAAGCTGTGAAAAACAACTTGACGACCCCCGAGCCACCTAAACCAGCAGTCGCGATGCAAGTACCAACAGATACTATACAAAACTAAAAGATGGCATGTGCAATACATAAATGAAAAAAAAAACCGAAAACAATTCACTTTATACAAGAGAAATAGCCTATTTATGCAATTTACGCAATAATAAAAGCATATACAGAAAGTTAGAACCTTACTGAAATAAACGCGAAAGAAAACTCCCACTCACAGAATTTAGCGCTTATCGCGGACAATTTGGTTTGAAATAAACATGGAAAAGAACCATTTCCCGCAAGATGCTCACCGATATATTGCTAAGTTCAATTTCCTGCCTACTAAGGAGGTGAAAAGTGATCGGCAAATTGTATTCCGTACTTTAATGACCGTAATTTGTCCTAAAAAAGTGTACTTCCCAAGGCTAGTTAACTCGTTTTGGATATCTATATATTTTATGCGTTAACTTTGCTAAGGTTCTAAGGTGATGTGGGGTAAACTTGTTTCTAGTTTATATCTTCCACATAGACGGTATTTATATGCCGTAAATCAAAAATTTGCATCATACCAAGCTCAATAGAAGGTCATCAATGGAATGTCTTTGTGACACATTAGAGATGCTTAATATATTTTTGTTTTGTAACATTAAGATTTTTAGAGAATGGTATAGGTAGTTGTGCCCCATATGAGTTGACCATAATTCAAATGCGAAAAAAACAATTAATTACATAATATTGACTTTGTTCTAAGTGGTAAGATGTGTGTATGACGATATAGAATACCAACAATACTAGATACTCTTGATATATTCAAAAACATATAAAAGAGCGCAAAAAAGACAAGGACAAGAAGTATACAGGAGAAGTACTTGTCCTGTATGCTTCTTGTCCTCGCTTTTTTGTGCTCTTTTATGTGTTTAACTAAGATGAACCAACCAGCCTAACAACGTACCCTACTAAACTTTGATATATTTTGATAAATATGGTCGTCCCAAGACATGTTTTCATGAAAAATAATGACCAATGTTTTAACGTGAGAACGATTTCAATTTGAGAACAATTTTTAAGAACAATACCCTTGGTAATATTGATATGTTTATTCTTCGGTCGCAACATAACTGCCTACCTTTGTCTTATCGGCGTTTATTTGAATGCATTATATGTTTACTCCATCTATAAAGCTTTTCTAGTGCTTCGTTCGCGTCATCAATACGCTAAGTCGAAGCGTCATCACTATAAAACTATAAGCCCGCATTATCATTCCAGATGAGCGGCAATTTATATGAGCATACTGTCCGCGGGGAGATAAATATGAACGTAGAAGTTATGAAACTTGGCCACGAAATCTATACATAATCTAACTCTTTTAGTAGCAAATTATGACCGAGATAATCGAACGCTTTAGTAAAGTCGACGAATAAACCGTGAGTTTTCTTTTTTCAAAATTTCTAAGTCTATGTTATTTTCGAGGATTGTTGTTTGCGAAACCAAACTGCGATCAGCTTTTCAAATCATGATTATCAGCAAATGTTGTCCTTCGAAGTAGTTGAACTGTTTCTAAACCCTAAAAAAACAAAACGTAGAAAAATGTCTGAACTGCAGTAGAGGCTTTATTACACGACGTTTCGGAAAAGGCCTTCCCTTCTTCAAGTGCACACTTGAAGAAGGGAAGTCTCTTCCAGAAACGTCGTGTAATAAAACCTCTACTGCTGTTCAAACATTTTTCTACGTTTACGACTTCCTTGGTGAAGATTTGTTTATTAATACAGTTACCCTTAAAAACAGAAAAAAAAAATTGAAACAGGTTTATAATTTCCCAGTTCGTTTGTATTTCGCTTCTTTTATAAAACTGTTAGCTTCGCTAGTTTCATTCGACAGGCGAACACGCCGTTTGTGAAACGAAGTTTGAATATGTGTTCTGAGGGAAGAAAAATAAGGTCAATTACGTATTTCGCTGGTCTGATCTGCAAGCCTTTGGAGACACAGGTTTTACTATTTTTTTAGTAAATTAAGGACACACACTAAATCTGAAGCAGTAACAGGCATAAGAAACATGGATTGATTATTTCGAGCATTGATACTTGCAAGCGTCTGACTCGGGCCGTTCTTTAACAAAACTTACAAAATATTCAATAAACGGATTTGACAATTCTTTGTCCCAACAGCTCTTGACCATTGTGGTTGACCTTTTCCACTTGTTTCGTGGCACACGACCGACCCAAGACAGAGTTCAGTGTTTTCCACAGAAACGGGTACTAAAATATACGAAAAAGAAAAGCCAGAAAAAGATATTTATTTAGCCATTCGTAATTCTTTGTTTAACTGGTTTCGATAACGATTGAAAGTCGTTTGTTGAAAGATTGATTTTGTTTTCCTAAATTGTTTATACAACGTATTTTTAGTACGAGTTCTTGTGACTAATTATTTTGTAATCCATGGTTTACGACTATTTCTATGAGTGCCTAATTTGGTGTGCGAAAAACGGCTTTCATATCATATCAAAGGAGCTATTCATACCAATGCAAGCATAATAACCACAGATAGGTTCCACTACCTTCGTTGCTGACTACTGGGAGATGCTGCTGCTGCGATTGCCGGGCTACCAACAACAGGAATCCGTTGTGCGGAAACAATCACCATCTTACAACAGCGGTTTGGAAACGAGAAGTGAATAAAGCGATAACTTCCGCATGCCCTCAGGAATCTACCTCACATTGCTTCGGCCAATGACATGAGAGGGCTGAGAAACCCGTTTGACACCACATAACTCAACGTTCGGTGTCTAAACTCATTGAATTTTCCCACTTCGAGTTTTTCAGCCATGCTCTGTGACATTTTTATCAGGGCGTTACCTTACGAGGTTCAGTTGGAGTATCAGAGGCAAGTCAACAACACCGCTGTCAGCAACACATCAGCTAAAGACTAAGGGGACGGATCGGCGTCTGAAACTTCAAGATCAGCGAAAACTCTGTCGGTGTCAGTGACCGAATTGAATGGAATGCTTCGCTTCCTGCGCGTGGATGTAGAAAGCCGAGAAAAAAGTAGCCTTGAGGTTGCTCGAAGCACGCACAAGACAGAGGTAAAGTCGTTTGCATCGGCATTAGCTCTTAATAACCCAACCAATGCTACACTTTCTCAGTGCTATTTCTAGCATTCAAAGGAACAAACAACGCCATCGTGCGGTCGCAGCAAACAGACAGATGAAAAAATGTAAGACTGTTATCATCGGATTTCAGATGTTTCCGATGCACATGAAAAGGTCACCGCACACGAGATTACCGGAAAACAACTGAGTAGTACAATTTGCAGAGGCAGACATGCAACCCCAATGTACGATCCCGCGTTTGCTAAGCAGATGAAGGAACGTTCACCCCTAGTTCACCCCAAGGTAACGATACGATTTGGGTCTGCATGCATCCAGCTCGGTCGCACGCTCAGAAACGAAGTTGATTAATGGTAATGTAGTGATTGCGCAGGCGAGCTGGTGGATGTTAACCATTTTGTTCTTAGCCCGAGACTGAGGCAGGAAAAGAGGAAAGTTTCGAAGTAGAAGAAAAATGAACAGTTGAGAACACGTCTCTAACACAGCTCTGTGTTAGAGACGTGTTCTGTGTTAGAGACGTGCTGTGTTAGAGACGTGTTCTCGACTGTTCATTTTTCTTCTACTTCGAAACTTTCCTCTTTTCCTGCCTCAGTCTCGGGCTAAGAACAAAATGGTTGATTAATGGAATAGATCTCCAGACGTTCAAGGCATTTGTACTGATCAACGATGGCAGCTGCTATGTCAAGGGAATAATCGACGGAGGAAGCCAGCGCACATTTATCAAAGGAGATGTATAGCACAACGCCTAGGACTTGGGGTTTTACGAACGATGTAGAGGGCCTTAAAGCGATGAACTGTCAGATGAAAGTGACCCCCAATCGCCCGCT